TCCACCCCCTGTCCCCACTCAGCCCCCACCCCCAACCCCATCCTCTCTCTGACCCACTCCTGTCTCAGTGGCCTCTGCCCCCAGCAGGCCCTGACCTGGCGGCAGCAGGACAGAGGCGCTCTGGGCCCCGTGCACATTCCGGGCCTCACAGCTGAGACTGAGTCCCTTGCTGAGCCCCTCCTTGAGGCTCAGGGAGCTGTTGGTCCAGGGACCCGCTGAGGGGGAGCTGACCCTGTGGGAGGCGTTGCCATGGTTCCCCTCCAGCAGCCCCGCCCCCAGCCTCCAGCACAGGGAGGGGGTCGGCTGGGCCCTGGAGGAGCAGCTGCAGTGCAGACCCTGGTCCTCCCAGGAGCAGGAGGGTCCCAGCAGCTGCGGGGGGGCATTGAGGAGCGAGGAGAAAGGTCTGCTGTGCCTCTAATCTCCCCAGACCCCAGCTGACCTGCCCCCCGGGTTCTCCCCACTCACAGACCACGGAGAGGCTGAGAGAGACGCTGTGGGAGCCCAGCCGGTGCCGAGCTTGAATCTAAAAAGTAGGTTTATTCATTCATTCTTTCCTTATGTTGATATTCTGATGAAAGTCAGAGAAGGGAAAGATCATTGCAATTGGAGAGAACCACATGAAAAATGTGAGATTGAATCTCTGGAACCAGCTCAGCTCGGCAGGGGGGTTGCTGTCAGCCTCACAGCGCAGCCTCAGGGCCTCTCCCTCCAGGATGGGAAAGGATGTGGTTTGCAGAATCTTGAGGGCTTTGGAGAAAGAAGTTGGGGAGGGGGGAGAGGGAGGAAGGGAGAGAGAGAGAGAGAGAGAGAGAGAGAGAGGTGGAACACAGGAGGTCAGGCACCCAGAGGTGAGGGACTCGGGTGATGACTTTCATCTCTGCCCTTCCCATGTCTCATCCCATTCAAACTCCTCCTCCTCCCTCTGCCCCACCAGGGCCCCGGAACATGTCCCAGCCCAGAGAGGACGGGTTCTTTCCTACCTGTGACATTTCTTAAGGAGACATCTATGGTGAGGTTCTGAGAGGCATCTGGGATATAGACAGGGCCCCACTTCAGATGGAAGTCACCCCAATGCCAAGGAGGGGCAGTGGGAACCGGGAAGGATGGGATCTCTCTTTCTGGCCCTCCCCCCCCTTAACACAGATCCATGCCCGGGTGTTCTCAGGTTAGCTCAGCCTCCAGCACACACACACATACACACACACACACACACACACAGGCCACTCCACTGCCCCCACGGACCCAGCCACCCCTCCAACACTCACAGGAAACATTGAGCCGGATGGTTCTCTGCGTGGCCACCCAAGATCCTTGCAGTTTCACCTGACAGGTGAGGCTGGTGCCATGGTCCCGGGGCCTCGGGGTGAAGGTGAGCACCGAGGAGCGGAGGGTCTGGGGGTCCAGCGAGTCCACAGCGGCTCCCT